ACAATACCAGAATCATTTACGTTTCTTAGACACGTCGTCTGAACTCTGATTGTGGTCCCTGAAACGGCATGCATGTTTAATTGAACTAGACCGTTAAAGAAGCGGGGTGCGTCGAGGAAACGACACGGTTTCTTGTTATCTTCAATTCACACGGCACGTATTTCGTCTACATGTATGGAGCGTACAGTACTAAAGACCAGGCGACTGTTGATCACGCGCCCTAAACCGTTTGTTCAGAGGAAAACCAAAGAAAAAGATTACGCACATTTGGTTTGTATAGCGTGTATTACAAGCAAAATCATCAATTTTTTTTGGTGTAAAAGTAAAAGAGAGAAAGTAAGAACTTTTATTGATGGCAAAAAATGTTTTTGACAACGTGAATGAATGGTTTGTAGAGTTCTCTCCTTTTTATTTCTCTATGGTTTCATCACCTAAGTAACCAAAATCTTCTCTCTATGTACACATGACTAATCTCTCTTTCAATTCCCTAAACCTAACAGGAGCAAATGAATGAATCAAATCAGAAGTGATTCTCTCTAAACCTAAACGCCAAAATCTAAGACAAGTTTTCCTCTTTATGAACAAATAGTAACGTGTTTTGTGATTTCTCTTAAAGGCTATAGTGCCTCACTGTATTCTCAAGTGCTTCCTTGCTTGGGCACACAATCTCCTTCACTCGAATCCCATTTTTGTAAAACTTGAACGTTGGCACAACTCTCACTCTCTCTGCATCACACACTTCAGCACATTTCTCCATTTCCACCTATCCAAACATTACACAGTAATTAAGTTTACTTGTTCTCTGGTTACAGACAAAGATGTCTTATGAGTATTTTTTGTTTTTATGTACCTTGAGGAAGTGCAGAGATGGGTAACGAATACAGAGTGCGTCCATGAAAAAAGACATCTCCTTACATTGTTGCTCAGAGGCTCTCACAAAAAGTACAATGGAAACTCCTGCCATTGATTGAAATATACAATCAAGAAAGTTCTCTGACTATAAAGAGCAGACAAGTTTGAAACGTCACTTACCAGGACGGGTCAGTGCAGCTTTTAACTCTTCATGACTAAAAACTTCCTCAACTTCACCTCCAAATTCCATGTTTAGTACTACTTCTCCCTGAGATTTCTTCAATGCAACTTGAGCGTGAAACAAACATTCAGCAATTTCTTTGTCATAAGGTAGTCCCTTTCTTAAGGTCTCATAATCTCTCACTGCTTCAGCCCATCTTTCAAGCTACAGTTTCATCACATGAAAAAGTTTAGAACGAGCGTAAAGCCAACGCTTAAGTCATACGGTACCATATAAGATCTTACCTTGCTGTATGATGCAGCCCTTTGACGAAGAGGCTTTATGTAACTCGGTAGAATGCGCAATGCATGGTTACAATCTTCGATTGAGCTCTCCCACATCCCAACTTTAAAAAAACAATCTGCTCTAAGACTGAATAGAGTAGCATTGGATGGATCAAACTTAAGGCCTTCTGCATAAGCTGAGCCTGCTTCAGTGTATCTTTCTGATTCATAAAGATCGCTACCACGATCACGCGCTCTAGCAATCGATTTAACATTTCTATACAATGTTTCAATTTCACTGTTTTTTGGATTGATCTCTGAAGCTTTCTGTGCAGCTGTAACTGCGTTTTCGAACCTGCAAGAATTCGTCTTAACTCTTTTCACCCATGAACATAACAAGTAAATCAATAATCAATCAAGAGGTCTATAAATCTCACCTTCCTAAAGCCAAGTCCATTTGGGATTTGACAAAACATGTGTATGCTTCACATATCATATCGAAAAACCGAGTCTGTGAGAAAGAGGCTGGGAATGGTTCCACTATAGGGACAATTGCTAATAATGTTTGAGCATCATCAAGCCGTAGTAGTTTAAGTAGTGCTTCAACTTTACATATAGCTAGCTGCAAATATAAGATATGTAAATTACTTAAAACGTTTGCTCTTTGATTCTTCATAAGGTTAACACCAAAATGAATACAATAATGTTAGTTCTTAACCTGAGGAGAAGCATCAGCTCCACAAGCCATAGCCGCAGTTGCTTCTGACAAAACAATATTCCATTCACCGCGTCTTCTTGCATCTGTGCATTTGTTCAAGTGTTTGTCTATTTGTTCAAGCATCTTCAACACCATGGAATCTGGTTTTGGTTCCTCCACAGAAAAAAAATGCTTCCCTGAATTATCGACCTGACCTAATCTGTAACCAATCAAAAGACTCAAATGATTAGATTAGACATCATTTCTCTATCAAGAACAAGAATCTACAAGCAATTCAGTTCACCTTAGAAGCAATGTGGCTAAACGGTGATGAGCTCTCGCAAATGTTGGATCCATTTTAATAGCTTCTTCACACTCAATCACAGCTTCTCCAATCCGACCTAAACCAGACAATGCAGCTGCTCGATTGCTATGGTAAGACGCATTACCCGGTACGAGCTCTATTGCTCGATCATACAACTTCAAAGCCTCACCGAAACAACCTTTTTTGAACATTTCGTTTCCAACTCTCTTGACTTCTTCAGGATTCGTACTTGTCATCACTTTCTTCCACAATGTATCTGCGTCTTGGTCACTACTAAAGCTACGGGCTTTAACTGGCGAAACAGAGGAAGACGAAGACGTTGGCTTCGAAGGAGAGGAGCTGCTTCTTCCTCGCATTATGTTACCGTATCCGTATGATTTCTCACTTGGTCCAGGTCTAAGAACCATGCTTCTTGGAACTCCTTGAGTCATGCCAGTAATCTGGACTTTCCCGGAAGGAAAAAGGTTACCGGCGGGAACTATTTTGACCGGTTGTTGCGGCGACGTAGTAGAGCTTTTACCCGATGGTTTTGCTGAGTCCGACGATGCAGAGCTTCGACCTGGTCTCGCATTCCCAGTCGCGGTCTTTGGGCCGCTACTGCTTGACCCAGTTTTACCGCCAGATTGCGCGGCGGAGCTACTGCTCGGCTTCGATTGTGCGGCGGAGGGAACAGTGGACTTAGAAGATTTACCGCCGGAGGGATTGCTGTGCTTAGATTGAGCGGCGGACTTAGAAGATGGCGCGACGGCGGTCCTGGATTGAGCGGCGGAATTGGAAGATTGCGCGGCGGCAGACCCGGATTGAACGGTGGACTTATAAGATTGCGCGGCAGAGGTACTGTTAGACTTCAATTGAGAGTCGGACGTAGATTGAGCGGCGGAGGAATTTGTAAGCTTTGAAGATTGAGCGACGGAGGTATTTAACCGATCGGAATCGGGTTTTATTGTAACCGGAGCATGTCCAGAGCGACCCGTAACCGATCCAGAGGAGCTAGAACTGAAGCTACTAGTGGAGGTGAGTCCACTCGGCCGAGTTTCAAGCGGAGTAATTGGTGATCCAAGATCGGCATGAACAGTATCTGGCTTATTATCTTCCATAGTCAATGAATGGCGAAGCTGATCGGCGACCTTGTCAGGTTCCGGTACGTTTTGATCGGGCTTCGACATTGCTTCTTACGAAAAAGGAAATCGCCTGAGTCCCCAAATTTCCCTAGGGTAAGAAATTAAGAACGATGATCGTCAATGGCGTAACAAGGTAGAAGATGAATGAAGGATCAGAGATAGATTCTGTACAATGCATTGACGAGAGAGGAGAGAGAAGGGAAAGATGGGGATCTTCGTGATGTAAAAGAGTGAAATCAAAAGAATGAAATGTGAATGTGTGTCACCTAGAGAGAGAAAGTAGTTTTCTCGAGAAAATTTCAGAGTAA